TTACAATGTGGCCTGGATCCTGGTTACATTGGGCCATCAGCCTGCTGCCTGCCTTCCCTTGGGGATGTAGCAAAAGGTAACATTTCTCCAGCACCGAGCAGGATCTTAAAGCCAACCGTGCTGGCTCTTGCAGACACCACATCTCTGGCCAGAAAGAACAAGCAGACCGGGTCATCCCATTTTACAGATGGGGAGACTGCAGTAACCATGAGGTCGGAAGAGACAGGGATTCGTGGGCTCCATGGGGCAGACAGGCTTTAGCCTCTATCCTTGATCTGCCCACATACAAAGGAAAAGTGCACCCTGAACCCTCCTGAAGCCTCCCCTGGCTCCCACCGGCCTCATGCCCTCACCTTCCCCCAAAGCTGAAGGTCAACCACAGGGCTGACCAGCTCAGCCCAGGCCAGCCCCCTCACCTCCCCAGCTCCAGGTGCTGTCCCCTTCTCTCCCCTCCCCTCCCCTCCCCTCCCCTCCCTCTGCAGTCTGGTCACTCCCACCTGCCTCCTGTGACCTCTGGGCAGAGCCTACCTGTGAGCAGGTGAGTTTGGCAGCACCTCTTGGACATAAATCCCACTGCTGACCTCTGGGAAGTCTGGGTTGTTGGCCTTCAGCTCCTCCACCAGGCTGGGGGACAGAGGGGCATGAGGGGCTGTCCCTCCCCCACCCTGGCCAGACAGGGGCTCTCTGCCCCGTCCTGCCTCTGACCACCCACCCTCAGAGTTTGCTTGCAGCGTCCCGCTGGATGGAGCCTGTGGGCAGCGTCCCTGGTGACTCGGTGCAGAGACTGGGTGGATGGGCAGAAGGCTAGGTTGTGTTCAGTGTTGCCGCAAACATGTATTTGTGATCAAAGGCCCCCCCACCATGGTTAGTCGAGAACAACCAGGGCATTGGTCAGCGCACCCATGCCAATACACTCCCAGGGTTAGCTCTCTGCTCGTTTTGCTTATTTCCTTGTTCAGCCTGGGGGCGGAGTGGGTTACACATCCTGCTACTCACTGCAAGGTCAGCAGTTCAAACCCACCAGTGGTTCGGAGGGAGGAAGAGGAGGCTGTCTGTGTGTGCAGAGGCGGGCAAGTGGCCCTGAGCCGGAGTGGCGTGGACTCCTCAGTGTGCTTGTCGGCTGTGTGCGCCAGGGCCCCTGCTCCATCGGGACTGCCCTCCCTGCTCCATCGGGGCTGCCCTCCCTGCTCCATCGGGGCTGCCCTCCCTGCCCACCAGCAGTCACGACCACTGACTTTGTCCAATGCTCTAGGCCTTTAGCTACAACGTTGTGAACGGAGAACCGTGATTTTTTTTTAGAATGAAGCAACAATGAAAGGCAAAGAGGCAGAAGGATTAAACGTGGCTTCCAGTTCCTGACCACTCACGTGGACGGCCTTGGTGAGGCAGCCCTGTTGCTGGTCTC